GAGGGAGTGCTGCACCAAGATCACTGTTAGTTCATAGGGCACCTTGGAGAGAATTAGACAAAGACGCCTCTTTCTCAAATCTCATCAAATGGAAAATTGTCATCATGTACTGATTTTGTTGGAAAAGACCCCTTCCTGCCATCAGCGAAAAATCATTGTCACAAATATCCAAATCTGTGGTGTCTGTGATGTGAGAGGCCCCCATCAGAAATGGCAGCCTTGTGCAGTGTACAACTAGCACAACTCTACATGGCGGCCCTGGGCCCTGGGCTCCGTTCCTGCGATTCTCAGGGGTTTGCACTCTGGGCAGATGGTCTCTGAGTTCCATGACCCTCCGTGGTGGGCCTCCTTGAGCAAGAGGGATTATTTAGAGGAGAATTTATCACATGTATATCATGGTCCCTCAGAGGTAATCTTAGGGTTAGGTTTTACAGAGTATTTCTTGAAGCCATAAAACCAAACCCATTGCCGCTGAGTCCATTCCGACTCATAACAATCCTATAGGACAGAGTACAGCTGCCCCATAGGGTTTCCAAGGGGCGGCTGATGGATTCGAACTGCTAACCTTTTGGTTAGCAGCCGAGCTCTTAACCACTGTGCCACCAAGGCTCCTTCTCGAAGCTCTGGTCCCTCAAAATGCTTCTCAGTGAAGAAAAATCAAGTCAAATAAGCCAGGGGCAAACTGCTTTCTATAACCCATCCTTTGGAGACATGCCCTGTGTGTTTACTTTTTTAGTTGGTTGACCTCCTTATTTTATTAGAGAAACACTTATCTGGCACTCACTCTGTGGCAGGCACGGGGCTGAGTACTTTACAAATTAAAAAAAGACCCCTAATAACCCTACAGGCTTGGTACTATCCTTATCACCATTTGACAGATGAAGAAACTAAGGGCCAGAGAGGTGAAGTCACCTGCCCAAGATCACACAGAAAACCAGTGGGAGAACTGGAGTTTGAGTCCAGGCAGTCTGCCTCCAGCATTCCTGTTCTTAACCACTTGGCCCTGCTGCCATTTGTATTTTAATTCTTGGGACAACTTAATGACATGTTTATTATTACTAACTTCACTTTGGAGTTTAAGTACCTAAACATCATCCCATTAGCACATTAAAGGCTCTGATAAGCCCTGCAGTTTTTAATCATTTCAGTAACTAACTTTTTTGAGCCCCAAACCTCATGCCAAACATATACAGTATTAACTCTTTTAATCCTCACACCCCTGTGAGGTAAGCTTTATTATTATGGC